TTTCGGCTGCCTTGAGCTTCTTTTGCAGCTCAGTGCGGTCGTGGTCCGCAATGTCGTATTGCTGGCGAATAGTTAGTTGTGGTTCATATATGACGTTGATAGCTTGTCGCCAGAGAAATCCTACCTTCTTCAGCTGCTTCATGGCGGTCCGCAGCTTCTCGTTCATCTCAGTTGTCTTGCGGACTTGCTCCTCGACATCTGCAGCAGGTGGTACTGCCGTGGCTTGCGTTAGCGATGGCAGTGCCTTCTCGTCGGAGGTTGCGCCCATTGTCTTGCGCAGTTCCTCCTTAGAAACGAGCGCTTCGATAAGATGTTTCTGTTGTTGCTCATTGTCCACCTGCAGCGATCGGAAGTCTGTGCGCAGCGACTCCAGCTCCTTCTTGAGAGACTCCGAGATTAAAGCATCGGTCGACTTGAGCTCCTCCAGGGCATCTATCGATCCCTTCCCGACAGCGCCCAAGTCGGCACGGAGGCGCAGCATCTCCCGGTGCTTGTCTGCCACCTGGTTCTCCAGCTCTCGCGAAACCACCTTGTGCCGGTCCAACTCCGAGGTCGTGTCCTTGAGCTTCTTCTGCGCCTCGATCCAAAGCGGGCTACCCTCTCCTGTCGCACCGCTCGCTAGAGCCTGCATTTGCGCCTCTAGGAGCGTGTGCTTTTCGAAAATATCGTTGTACTTTTTCCGGGCGAGCTCCTCCTTTGTTTTTGAGATTTCCAGGTCGGCCCGTAGGCGGTCGTTCTCGGAGCCCACGTTAACATTGCTCCGTAGGAGGTTGTTCTCAGCACGCAGCCGTGCAATCTCCAAAGTGTAAGCAGACGCAGGGTCGTCTGTGTGCTGCAGCTCTTCCTCGAGATTAAATGTCGCCTTGGAACCACCAGGGCTGGCCGGGAGGGTGCTACCGGTTCCTTGCAGGAGCTGCTGTTCAAGCTCGGCGATGCGCACTTCGCTCATCTGGTTTTGGTCTTTCAGGCTCTCGAGTTGCGCATGCACCGCGTAGATGTCGGCTTCCAACGCAGCCTTCTGGATGCGGTTGTCCTCGATCTGCTGTTCCAGACCCGACACCATCTCCCGGAAGCGCTCGATGGTCGCCTGCTGTTGGTTGACGCGTTTTTGCAGGGCGTCAAACTCTTTGAGCGCCTCCTTGTTCTGCCCGACTTCGTACAGGGCCTCCTCCAGGCGCATCTCAAGACCGCGCTGGGCCTCAAGCTTCTGCTTGTACCGGTCGATGGTGTTGGCCTTCTTACTCAGGTCATCGTTGGCGTGTTTGAGCTCCTGCACCTGGTCCTGCAGCTGCTCGACGAGCACAGCCTTGCGCGAGAGCTGGCTGTTTTCTTGGGCCAGTCGCTGCTTGGTCTGGCGGTCGTCCTCGGCTTGTCCTTCTTGGTTACTGATGAGGTCATCCTGCTCGCGCAGCTTTTCTTGCAGGTCCCGGATGAGCTGTGATTCGCTGGTGCCGTGCTTCTGGCGCTCGAGGTCCAGCTCCTTCTCTTTCCGTTCCAAGTCTTCTTTAATGACTTCGTACGAAATCTGAAGGTGTTCGAGGCGCGTGTTGGTGTCGGCCAGCTTTTTGCTGACACGGTCGTAGTCGGACGCGAGCGTCGCCAGCTGGGCCTCGGCTACCAATCCCGGGTCTAGCCCAGCTGTGGCTTCGTCCACCGACGCGTCGACACCGCTTTCGGCGAGTCGTTGGCGCTCTTCATCCTTGCGCTGCAAGATGGTCATGATTTCGGCCTGCTCACTCGTACTGAGGTTCTTGCGCATGACGGGAATGTACCTGGTGTTGTGTTCGCCCAGCATGGCAGCAGCCGTGAAGATGGCAACAAGCTAGACGAGGTCAGTATCAAAGGCACACCAGAAAATTTTGGAAACATCTGCAGCCCTAGGACTGCAGCCCTAGAAGATGACCTGCAACACACCTGTGCAATGCCCTCGGCATTTAGGTTGTCCGACACGGCGCGCACATCGATAGTCCGCGGCAGGAAATCAATGGCGCCGCTGCCGTCCTTGTGGATGATGTACTTGGTCAGCGCCTTGAAGACAGACTGGATGTTACGCTTGTTTGTCAGCCAAGCGGACGAGCCGGCGTGCTGTTCGAGCTCATTGGGGTCGTATTCCGGGTCGAGATCGTGTAGCATCTGGGCAAAGACATGGGCATCGGCGAGGTCCTCGAGGCGATCGACCCTGCGGTCCAGGGAGAATGTGTTGACCCATGTTAGAAGCGCCGCTTGGCCCGCTCGGCTGATGGACTGATGCTGTTGTTGTTGAGGCATGGTGAGAGGAAGACCCGAGGGAGGATGAATCAGAACCGGTTAGCCACGGGAGGCTATCAGGGAAGCGAGTCAGGAGGACGCCGAATGATTCTGATTGTTGATGCTGCAAGAAGGGTGTAATGAAAGCGGCACGCAAACAAAACCGGACATCGACTTTTAGAGACCGGCGTAGTCCATTTGCAATATCGAAATGGGCGACACCGAAGCGAGGAAAAAGGGTGACTGTGAATAGATCGAGCTGGGATGAAATGCACGATGCAATGGCGAGACAGCCAAAACAGGCAGAGACGCTGATCTTGAGTCGTTTGCGAGCTGCGGCTGCTACACGTCAGCGGCGAGTCTCTGTGCGCTTAGAAGGGTGCGTGCCCCTTGCCAGTAGGGAGAAGACAGTGAACCGGAAACGAAGTCGAGAATGAAGAAGGGAAAAAAGGAAGGGAGCGAAACGAAAGAGAAACGAAGCTTCAGACTTGCTCCGCTATGCGAAATGACACACGCTAGCGACAGCTCCAAAATGGCAGGCGCGTACCTTTCCACCACAACGCGCAGGGAAGTGACAACCCAGACCCCTGGGATCGTCGCAAACCGAATTCATCTGCGGGACGTCGGCTGGAATTGGAGGTGTGGATGGGAATTACGGAATATTACAGAAGCCAGTGAATACAGTCCAAGCCCAATCAGCCCCCATGACGGGCCTCTGCATAAATACAGCCCCGCCGGTCCCGTATCAGGTGCCAGGAGCCGCGAACGCAGCAGGAAGCCGCATGCCACACATTCCGCTGACTGGTATTAGATTAATCGTGAGCGTCACCAAATTGAGAAGCAGAGACAAAAGGCACTACAGCCACCTATTCTTATTCTACGAGAAGAGCCTTCCACGAACCACTTGTACGGAGTATTGCTCTGACGATGCATTCTGACATCCTTCTCAGTGGCGAATACATGTAACATACATCTCGCCCTGGGCTGCAGTCCGTCGCAAAGGCCGCCATGTTCCATACTAGATGAAGGTATGAGCTGACCTGGCAATTGCTTGTTCGGCTACAACGTATGGAATGCATCGCGGAGAAACGACACGGATGTGGCGACCTTGAGGAGAAAGCCACCGGCTAATATGACTTGTTCAAGGCTGCTAACTGACAAATTGTCACGTCACGAAACCCCAAGTCGCATCAAAAACAGTAAACAGTAAACAAATGACTTGTAGTTTTTTTATTTTTTGTTATTTTTTGGACTTTGCAAATGTTTCCAGCCTAACGCCGCCCGATCCCAAGAAAGCGAAACAACGCAGAGTGATATCAGTGTCGCATCCAATAGAGAAAAAAGTAAAACCCAACGACCCGTTGTCCATCAAAATCGCAGCTGTTGAATGTCAACAGCTATTTCGTGTGTCGTATCGCATCCATCGGTCTTCCTATTGTATTCGTTGTTGCCGTATCGGCGTCGTTATATACATGGCTTACTCCACAGACACGACCTTGTCCTCTTCGACCAGAGCCTGGTATTTGCTGCCCATCGTCTGGACAGACGCGAGGACCTTTTCGCCCGCCGTCGCAGCAAAGCCCCTATTTCGTTGGTTAGCGATGAACAATGTAGCCGGGAAACCGATAACGTGGAGGGTATGGACCTACTTGATCAGGTTGTACTCGTGTGTGATGATGCCGCCGGCGTTGATGATTGCCTCCTTGGCTTCGGAGATGACCCAGTCGGGCGTATTGCTCTCGTAGGTGACAACCACTTGCTTCTTCAGCTCGACGGCTGAAGCGCCCACAGCGAGCGACAGGATGCCGGCGAAGAACGTTGACGGCTTCATTTCGATGATTGACGAAGAGGTTGACGGGACGAGTCGCAGAGGAACTTTGTTTCGGCGAAAAAGCGGAGGCCGGTTGATGTCGAGGACGTTTGCGGTACAATAGGAAGTTGGTGGGATTCAATAAACGATGATAAGGTGGTTACCGAAAGGAGGTGTTCGATGGGTAGTGTTGGCGACGGTAGATTATTTAATAGAGTTTAGGAAGCGTTGGTGCCGATGACGAAAGGCGAGGCAGGCACTTTCCACTTTATTCCAGAATTCCAGAGGTGGCAGATGACTGAGAATTGGCTCCTCCACATTTCTCTAAGGCAAGGCGGCGGGTCCACATATTTTCTACAACCCAAACGCCGTTAGCCAATCAGAACAACGTTTTCTCCGATCTCCGTCTGCTCAGCAGAAACTGCTGAGGATGCCGTGTGCGCACACCACCATTTAAAGTAGATATTTTTTTGTTATCTTCTGACATCGATGTTCGTTAAAGCTGTTTCCTTATATAATAGAAAAGCAACGAACCCTTGTCTTATGTGTTGCGGCACGGAAATACAAAGGTATCGTCTGAAAATTCACGTCACGTGCTTTATCATGTGCGGCGCTAGTCCTATAGAAATCTTTTCACCCCACATAACCACATGCAATTCGTCCCGCCGGCAGGCGCGTTACGGCGCAAAAGACTGTCATACCTCATGCAGCCTCTTTTTCCATCATAGAAATTTTGCGTTTCGGCGTTTTACCGTCATCCGCAGGAACCTCGCTTCTTCTACTCGGCTTCGGCATCCACATATTTGATGATCTTTTTTTCGACACGAGTCTACATATCGTCACCAAGAGAGACCACGGGCAAGCACAGCTCCAAGTCGTGCTAGAAGGCCTCGCTTTCTCTTCATCTTGCGTACTTCGTCTCATCCTTCTTATAGCATTCACAATGGGTGACACCGCCAACGAAATCAAGCTGCTTTCGGGCAACAGCCACCCCATGCTTACGCGGTTGGTGGCAGACCGGTAATGAAACTCCCGAGTGTTTCGATGCTGCAATTGCCTCCTCTGGTCTTTCATGGCCTCCTCTGTGCCTCAGCTAACATAAATGCACCTCATAGCCTCGGCATCGAACCCGCAAAAACGCTGAGTATGTCGGAAGCATTCCTCTTACCACAAATTGGAAAACATATGTTTGCTACGTATTGCTAACTCTGTTCCTCAACACAGGCTTGAACTACTCGAACCAGGAGACTGTAAGCTCTCTGCGGTACTTTTGAAACCGAATGAGATGAGACGCGAGCAGTATCTAACAAATTTCACAAGAGTGTTACTATTGGCGAGTCTGTCAGAGACGAGGATGGTGAGCCCCTTTTACTATTGTCTGACTTTTACAGGGTACTTGTTTACTGACATATTGCCCCAAAAGTCTTCATTCTGCAATCAACCGCTCCGGGCGACATCAACGACGGCCTGATGGAGCTTCTCATCATGATCCACGCTGTACGTTCTCGTAGTGGACAGCCTATTTTCCCTTTGGCCTACCAATCACCGCACGTCTAACATTCTCAGTGCCGCACGGCCTCCGCCCGTCGCATCACGGCCGTCGTCCCCAACTTCCCTTATGCCCGCCAGGACAAGAAGGACAAGAGCCGCGCTCCCATCTCCGCCAAGCTAATCGCCAACATGCTCGAGACCGCCGGCTGCAGCCACGTCATTACTATGGACCTGCACGCCTCACAGATTCAGGGATTCTTCAGCGTCCCTGTCGACAACTTATACGCCGAGCCCAGCGTCCTGCGCTTCATCCGGGAAAACCCCAAGCTGCAGCGCGACGAGACCGTCATTGTCAGCCCCGATGCTGGCGGTGCGAAGCGCGCTACGTCTATTGCCGACGGCTTGGAAATGGCTTTTGCCTTGATCCACAAGGAGCGGCCGCGGCCCAACGTCGTTGGCCGCATGGTCCTTGTTGGCGATGTCCAGGACAAGATTGCTATTTTGGTCGACGATGTAGGTTTTTTATTGGCCCCTAGAGACGTGGAAGTGTTTCCAGGTTTGAATTTGCTTTTTGATAGCTACTAACATATACGTTTCAGATGGCCGACACATGCGGTACTCTCGCAAAGGTGAAGCTAACTACACGATATGACTTACATGTCTCATGGCTAGTATATAAACAACTTAGAGGCATAGCCCATACTAACACAAAGATAGGCCGCTGCCACACTGAAGGAGCACGGCGCACGCGAGGTGATTGCCATCGTGGTACGTTTAAATTTTCCATCTCCTATTGCCTTTAGGCTTATTTGGGTCGACACTAACTGTAATTTAGACACACGGCATTCTGAGCGTAAGTTTGAAATCAAAGCGCTGACCGCCTATGAAGTAAAGAAACGTGCTTTATATGTATACTAACTTTCCAATAGGGTGGTGCTGTGGATACCATCAACAAGAGTTGTCTGTCCCAGGTTGTTGTCACCAACACCGTTCCCCTGGGCGACAAGCAGGAACGCTGCCCAAAGATCAAGGTCATCGACGTCAGCAGCACCATCGCCGAGTCCATTCGCAGGACACATAACGGCGAGAGTGTCAGTTATCTCTTCAGAAATGTGCCTGTGTAAAGCATGTTTATTAAAGATGAAACATTGGTTAAGGTTGAGGGTGGCCGTTTGTCATTTATATCATTGCATTATTGTCTTTTTGTTTTTCAATTTTGTTGTCGTGCTTTACATATCACAGGAGTATATTACAACAGATCGCTATTGAATGCGAATGCGGACACCGCACCAAAGTAGAATTGGTTTTCTAGAATCATTGTGGTTATCGAGGGACAAAAAAAGATTTCGATCAACAGTCGGTATTGTGTGACCAAAGTACATCCGAATGTAGATTGTCATTGTAAAAGACCTCGGAGTACACAATGTCCGTGAAATTGTTCTTCCGCCAACTAGTGACTTCAAGATAATATTAACATTTCCTGGCATCAAGATGACGAAAAATAATTTTTGAAATAACCTTTTGATTTTTTTTTGTTGTCCATAATAAATTTTGACTGCGTCCGCATGATAGAAAACACAGATCACAGCTTATACCAATATACGACACGCAGGATATGGCTCGTGCGCACACATATATGCAGTCTTTTCCTCCCCGCGGCCGCAAACAAAAACAAAATACCACTGCGAGCCGCGAGGGAGCTTTTGAGTTTTGTCCACCACGAGGCCTTCATCCACAGGCGGCCCCATTCCCATCCTTCATTTTGCCTTCCTCGTCACGAAGAGCTCTTTGCAAGTTTCCTTGAAAAACACAAAAAAAGAATCCATTGCCGTGGCCCTCTTTCCCCCGAGGCTCTCGCTCCCGACCGAGTGACACAAAATAAATGCACATAACAACATTAAAAAGGAGGAATAAAAACGCCCTAGAGTAGTGGAAAAGACACTTTTTCGTTTCAAAATGTCGTCTCATTTTGTTTAATTTTGTCCCTTTTTTTGCCTTTCTACTTCACTCCCGCCGAGGCGGGAAGCGTCGCATGCTGTCGTCTAAATGCTTTACTTGTGGGAGCTCGCGCGCCGCTTGCGCAGGTCAGCCTTCTGTGCCTTGGCCTCGTGGACACGCTTGGCCAGGATCTGGGCGTACTCAGCCTGGTAGAGGTTAGCAACTGGTGGACACATAAACAGAACGAACGAAATGTGGTGCGACACGGGTTACGTACAGCCTCGTCCTTGACCTTCTCGTTCTGGCGGCGCTTCAGGGCAATCAGGTGACGCTTGTGCTGCAAGCGTTGCGGGGTGATCAGGCGCTGGATCTTGGGGGCCTTGGTGTAGGGCTTCTTGCCCTCGCCCTTGGGCTGGACCTCACGGCGAATGACGTATTTCCGGACATCGTCCTCCTTGGACAGACCGAAGAACTTCTGGATCTTGCGAGCACGCTTGGGGCCCAGGCGCTTGGGGTGGACAACGTCGGTCAAGCCGGGGATGTCGGCCTCGCCCTGCTTGGCAATAGACAGAGCCAGGACGGACAGGTCAGCGCTGACGATGCAGCCGCGGACTGACTTGCGCTTGCGCTCACCGGACCGGCGGGGACGGTAGCAGGAGTGGCCGTCAGACAACAGGAGGCGGACACGGGTGGGCTGCAGGACACCCTGCTTCATGGGGAAACCCTGCTTGTCGTTGCCACCGGTGATGCGGACAATGTAGCCCTTCCACTCGTCACCTAGAGAGTCGGCGGGGACCTCGGCACCCATCTGTACGCGAGACGTCAGTTTTCCGTTCCTATATTGTATCCCACAATGTTCTTTCTCGAAGTCGGCCGAAAAAAATCGTCGATTTAGGTGCAGGGAGGAATGGTACGAACCCGACGCTCCATGAAAACAGCGAGCTTGCGCTCATCTTCAACGTCGATCAGCTTCTGCGCACCGGTCGCCGGGTTGCTAACGTTCAACTACAAAACGAAGATAAGTTAGTCCAATGCAACTGACAAAAATATTGACGACATCACCCCGACATCAAAAGAACAGTAGCATAACAGCAACATTGTCGTCTGGTCGAAAGAATATTTTGCCCTGTGTCCTTTTTTTGTCTTTTTGTGTGTCCGTCCATCTTTGCCGTAGGCTCCGTCTGGTTCCCGTTTCAATTTCCAGGTCAAATGAATCCGTGGCTTGTCGTCGGTTTGTCGTCGCCTTGTCATCGATCTTCGTGATTTCTCCCAGACGAGTTCATGAGGACAATTCATCCATTCGTAACCGGGACGAGGACACAGTGCAAAAATATTCCTTCCACCCGCCTTGCTCTCGTGTTGCCGTTGCTACTGCTGCTTCTGACTTTGCTTTGCTGCTTTGTAGGTGTCGTCGAGACGGAAGCAAGTGAAGATAAAACGAACCTTCATGCTGGGCGGTCGTTTCTATGGATTCCCTTTTGGTTGAGAAGTAAAGAGAAAGAAAGATCGCGAGGAACAGAAACGTCGGTGAATTCTGTTTTTTTGGTTGTCGGAATGGAGTTGGGCGGATTGGTGCAAAACCTCGCGGAAGGGGAGAATTGGTGTGGAATGTGTTATTTTTTTCGCTACTAATTTTGCGTGCAGGCAGAAAAAAGTTTAGCCCGGAGAATCTATGCGCGCCGGGGCTAGGCCACTCAAGCTGACAATGTTGTGCTCCCTGGTGGGCTTACCTAATAATAGGGCTTGTCAACCAGTTCACATGGTCCGTGCACCAGTATCATAGGAATATCATGTGACCAAAATTTGAGTAGGGCAATAAAAACCGGGTCCTGACTCGCGCCAGATACAAGTGGGCTGGTGGGGTTATCATAATGTGCTAAAACTTTTCGGTTCATGGGTCTCGGGCAACGTCAGCCTTCTCGTCGATGGCAGGTGTCGGCAGCTGTCAACCTATTATCACAAGGCTAACAAAACGTCGTCGTCTTCTCAGAGGCGACAAACATCATGTGTAAACAATCTCACAATCATTTTTAATTCACGGCCATCGCATCTCAACAATGGAAGATGATAGGGCACAGACAGACATCGGCCTAGCTGCTGAGATTGAGGAGCAGCACCGAGAGGAAGAACTGGAGAAGGCTCTTGCTGAGCTGGCGATGGAAGCAACTGAAATCGAATCGACCGAAACAGATACACAATCAGCACCACCTCTGCCACCAAAGAAACAAGCAGATGCACCAAGCGGCGAGAAAGATTTCACAAAACGTGCGGGGTCTGAAGCGGCAGAACTGACAACTAGCGAGAACCCGGACAAGCCGGCCTTGAAGCAGCCCAAGAAACGGTTCATCGGACGACGAGCGGCAGCGGAGGCTGCTGCTAAGACACCAGGGCTGAACGTGGAGGACAGCGGTGCTGTTGGTAAGTTTACACGAGAACGGTCATGGTACCTCATTTGGCTCCGCTGTGCAAATTCTGTACAAATACTAACACGATGCAGTGAGCCGCCCAGCACGAAGGCCGCCACGGCTTCTCAACCAGGTGCCGCCCGAGCTGGCCAACGACCCGGCGTTGCTTGAGGCTGTGGCGTTACTTCCGCCCAACTACTCGTTTGAGGTACCAAAGACAATCCACCGCATTCGCACACTAGGTGCCAAGCGTGTGGCTCTGCAGATGCCGGAAGGCCTGTTGCTATTTGCAACGACCATCTCGGACATCCTGCAGCAATTCTGTCCGGGAATCGACACACTCATCATGGGCGATGTGACATACGGTGCATGCTGTATCGATGACTACACGGCCCGCGCGCTGGGTTGCGATTTGCTAGTGCACTACGCGCACAGTTGCCTGATTCCCGTGGACGTTACACAGATTAAGACGCTGTACGTGTTTGTGGACATTCGCATCGACACGGCACACCTTCTCGCGACACTTGAGCGAAATCTGCTCCAGGACCCGTCTAAGCCCACAACACTGGCACTGGTCGGCACGATTCAGTTCAACGCAACCATCCACGGCGTGAAGCCAACACTCGAACAGGCCGGCTTCCGCGTGATAGTGCCACAGATCGCACCGCTATCGCGAGGCGAGATTCTGGGCTGCACGTCGCCGAACCTGTCTAAAACAGCAGCCGCTGGTGCGGACGGCGACGACAACGACAACTTGGCCATACTCTACCTTGGCGATGGCCGCTTCCACCTCGAGAGCATCATGATCCACAATCCTACAGTACCTGCGTACCGCTACGACCCCTACGCGCGCAAGCTGACACGTGAGACGTACGGGCACACCGAAATGCAGGACCTGCGGCGATCGGCCATCCGCACAGCGCGCACGGCACAGTCGTGGGGACTGATCCTAGGCTCGCTCGGCCGGCAGGGCAACCCACACACGCTGGCTGCGATCGAAGCACGGCTTCGGCAGCGCGGCATTCCGTTTGTGACACTGCTGCTGTCCGAGATTATGCCGCACAAGCTGGCGCGTATGAGCCAGGACGTCGAGTGCTGGGTGCAAGTGGCGTGCCCACGGCTGAGCATCGACTGGGGCTACGCATTCCCGCGACCGCTGCTGACACCGTACGAAGCGCTTCTGGCACTAGGCGAACGGGATGATGCGTGGGCGCGGGCGCCTGACGGCGGTGTGGGCGGCGTGTATCCGATGGACTTTTACGGGAAAGACGGTCTCGGTCGCACACGCGCCGCGCAGCCGGCGTGAAAGAAATGGGAGGTACAGGTGGTATGCAAATAGAAATGACATACGCAGCCCGGTGCAATGCATGATTCACGGTGTTCCGTTACGCTACCTTGCTGTCGTACATTTGCTTGCTAATTCCGTAGCCTCGTCTATAATTCGCGGCCATCGATTGCCCCTCCCCCATCTCGTCGTCGCTGTCCTTCTAAAACGACGTCGCCGTCATGGGTTCGGGTCGCTGTGAAAAGAGCAGCTTGTAGTAGACCACCTCAACGACCTCGAGATCGGTTTCGCTCAGCGCGGCCCTGTCCGCAGAGTCCTTTTGCTGCTGTTTCCTCCTTACAACAGCCAGTGGTCGTGGGAGCTTCTTGACCTCGCCCGTGAGGCGCTGATGCGGACCAACGTAGAGGTGGACACGACGCATCCAACCTGTGCTGTCAGCCCCTGCCGCCGGGTCGTAGTCGGGAAAGTCGAGGCGGCCAATAGGTACTGTTTGTGCCTGTGGTCCAGCCACAGAGTGTTCTTGGCCGTCTTGACCCTCCTCATCCTCGTCACCTCTTGGTGCTTCCGGCAGGTTTATTGTACCCTGGAGCTCCAGGAGGGCAAGGCCAGCTGGTGTCTGCAAAACTGTAGGCAGGGCGTTGGGTACTGCGGTACCTGCAGAGGCACCCGGAGTCCGTAGGTGAATTGTGACGGTGGATGACTGATTGTCCATGTCGGCGGCGTGGCTGTACGAACAGCGGCGGCTGGGAAGGAGAGAGAGTTGTTGAGGACGGAAATCGCCGATGTTGTGTCGTCGAGAAACCGAAAACCAATTAACGCGTCGTTCGTTGAGACGCGATCGACGTAGTCGTACAGTGGATTTTGCAGTGTCATTAGTGCCGCCACATTCGCAATTGCCAGTTCACTAGGCAAAATCGCCAAGCGCCAAGACTGCCACCTACAATTGTAAGCCGGGACGAATCCAAAAGCACATGAAAAACAACTACTATGTAACTACAAAGTAGCGACAAACAGCAGTGTTTTTTTTTTTGTGAAAAGTATATATTTTAAACTGGGCTAAATGAAGAACATCTCCCAGCGTCTTCCTACGAAGATAGTGTATTAACAATCCAGCGACCGCATCGAAAAGTATTCCAAGAATATATATATCTCCAAATCAATATTCTGCAATGTCCAAATTATTGGGAACTTATACCCATTGCACTTCTTATTTTGTCTGTATGCATGTGTGTGTTTGCAATCCACACCTCACCAAGCTTATGCTGTCGTCGTCGTGGTGTTGATGCTGAACTTGTACGTTGCCTGCAGCTCATACGGCGCATCGCCCGGCGCAAAGATCTGCTTGCTCTGGCGACCCCACTCGGGCTGGTTGATGGCGTCGATCCAGTCCTCGACCTCCAAGACAAGGCAGCCGTACTGAGGAATGGTGCGCGGGAACTTGGGGGCGGAGCCGTTGTTGCCAAAAAGACCCTGGGTCTTCTTGAGCGCCATCGATCCGTTCTGGCCGCCGCACGAATAGACCTGGAAGGCTTCCTGGTCCGAGTAGATGTCGAGCTGGATGCCAGACCAGGGCGAGTGCAAGCGCGCGACGTAGTTGTCCTCGTCGCGCCAGCCATGCTGGCCGTCATTGTCGCGGTTGACGAGGTAGCAGGTATCGTAGCCGGTGCAGTTGTAGCCGCAGTTGCCGAGCAGGTCCGGGTTGGAGAAGTTAGCACCGATCTGCTTGGGGGCCGTCCAGAAGTCGTTGAGGGAGCCGGGTTGGTTGGCCAGGATGTCGCCCGTCGGGATCAGGATGTTATCCGCGGCGACACGCTGACCACTGTACGGCAGGTGCAGCGAGTGATTCAGCACGAGGTTAGTCTCGTTGTTGGCAAAGCCGTCGAGGTTCCAGTACGTGTGGCTGCTCAGCATGATGGGCGTCTTCTTGGTGGTAGCAAAGGCCAGCATATTGAAGTTCCACGTGTGGTCACCGAGCGTGTACGTGATGTACGAAACGACCTCGCCAGGGAAGCCCTGGTCGCCGTCCGCGTCCACAATCTTGAAGACGATGCTGTTGGTCGTGTGCGACACAACCGTGAAGTTGCGCCAGTCCCAGCCGTCAGGGCCGCCGTGCAGCGTGTCGACACCGTCGGGGTGGCCCGGCGCCGGATTCTCATTGGGCAGGATGTTGTACGTAGTGCCGTCAATTTCAAAAGTGCTATTCTTGATGCGGTTGGCGTACCGGCCCGGGACACCGCCAAAGTGCGGGTGTTGGCGGTCAATGCCGTAATAGGATGCGTTGTCAAAGCCGCCCACCAGGTCGCGGACGATTCCGTACTGGTCATGGATGAACAGGTTGGAAATCGAAGCGCCGTACGGTATGAACGAGGCCGTGATGCCGTTGCCGTAGAGCCAGTACTTGCCATCGGCGTCGGGGCCAGTTGAGTTGGAACTGTCCTGGGCCGAGACTGACGGCGACAGCAGCGCCACAGCAGCCAGGGAGGATGAGAAAAGAGACTTGGCCAGCATTGTGACGGCCGAAAACGGACACAGATAAAGACTGAAGGGGTAAAGAAACGAACGGTGACAATGCGAACGAAGGGAAGCAATATCCAATCCAGAAGACTCCAACAGCGCTGAAGCTGAAAATAATTAAGGATGTGAAGCGCAAGCTGCGTTGTCGCAACAAATAATATACGTCCCTTGGTACTTACACACCAACAGGTACAGTTGGGAGTGTCCGGTGGTCGCAGGAGTAGAGATGGGGACCGGTGATCAGTTGCTGACGGGCGACGAGGCGGCACACGGTGTCTATTATAGATGAACGCAGGGCATGACGATCCATCACCCTCGCTCTTTCATTTCTGCCCACAGCGTTCCTGCCTCGATATGAAGCTCCTGCCGTCCCACATCGTCTCCCGCATGCACCTCCGCTCCTCCCTCCCCAAAGTTCCCGGACGGTGGCCATGACAATGACCGTATCCATTACCCCCTACCCCCTGCTCTATCTTTGTCTTGTTTGCCTTGATTTTGTCACTCTACCTCCAGTCAACTAGTGGCGGTGGTGTTGGTAAAGCTCGCTCCCGGCCATTGTTGACCCGAAAACTACTTTCAGAAAAGGGAAGCTCCAAAGACCTCGATCCTTCCCTTTTGCATGTCCCCGTCAACAATGGCACCCCTCTTTCTCCTCGGCCCAGGGTAGGACAAGGCAGGAGGCAAGTGCAGCCGGCAAAAGCTGGGAATTGCCAAAATCCGAGCTGTTCTCACTCGAGAAAGCCCTCTTTATTTCTCATATTTCTCCGTTCCCCTCTTTTCGAGGGTTGCAATTAAGCCAAAATGACTGTTGAGCTTGTCCCGGAGACAGCGGGAACATGACGAATCAAATTATCATGGGGCCAAAAGAAACGCCCAAATGGAGAAGCTGGACCAGGAGGCTGGGGGAGGGGGGCAGGGTGTCAAAGGGATCTTGGACAAAGTCCCATGGGCGGTTCAGGACCTGGATGACACTACGTCGAAGAACTGTGACGTACGGAGTAATTACATTGTACATGTAGCTTGCTGGCGATGCTAGCGGCTGCCTTTTTTGTCGATCGCATGTCGTTGGACTGGGGAACCGAGGGTGATGTTGCTGACCACGTTGTGGTGTATTTTGTGTGAGGGGAAAGAGGGTAAAGTCCGCGAACAAGCTTCCGGGCGGTCGTACGGGCGATGTTCAGGCCAGGTATGTGGTACTCCATAACAGGCTATATACGCGCCTGCAAACAACATGCACAAACCCCTGCTAGCGCCGGCTTCCAGCGCGTGGCGTTACCCAGTATGCATAGATTGTAAGGCCCACGAACGCTCTCTGGACTCGAGAGCAACCAGAAGAGCAGAGCTATTTTTCCCACGCGGAGGAATTACCAGGTTTCTAGGTTCCTTCCCATTGAGGGGAAGGTTACTTTTCTGACTGTCGAGCGACTATGGCATTGGTGCCGTGTACGGAATACGACCCTTGTTGATATCTTTTCTTTTGTTCCTTTTCTTCCTTTCGTCACCGTTCTTCGTAAGCACTTGCGCTCACTTCCAAGGCCCGCAGTTCCAGCACTACACTTCTTCTAGGTAGCGTCTCGCGCCTCCGGGCGGACTGCGGCGATCGATTCGTCAAAGATCGGCCGTTCTCCGCGTTCTCCGCGTTCTCCGCGTTTTCGTCTTTCTTCTGGTTCTGCCTGACGACTCTTCTACCCTGGTTTCGGTGGCTGTCTCCTCAATTGTCAGTGCTGATCATGTAACAATACCCTGGTCCTTTATGTCTCCCGATGCTCCGCGGTCCAAGTGGAAGCCTGAATGTGAGCTGCCAGTCGTTTGAGTTTGCATTGAAAGAGGGAGAAGGAAGACCGAGGGCAAAGGAAACTAAAGGGCCTCACTTCCATCAGCATGTTGGGGAAAGGAAATGCAGATAATTGAGGGGGCTGGAACCAACAAAATAAGTATACAAAAAAATCTCAAAGCCTTCATTCGGCAGAAGTCTACCAAGAGGTTGCCATTCCATCCAAGGTATGGCTATGACATTCTTTGCGGACGACGGCTCACTGGAAATGGTTCCATTTGGGTCAATCTGGAAGTTCAACCGGTTGATCGGCTTGTGAAGAGAGAGTAAAGACGGCAGACAGCGACGGCTGTTGAATGGTCCAGCCATTTGGCACGGATATAAATTGAAGGTTCATTGGAAAATATTGGTTTCCGTTATTTCGGGAAATTGTTTTTCTACGAAGATAAAATAAAATAAATGAATACAAAAAAACAAAACAAAAAACAAAACAAAACAATATATGTATAAAAGGCGAAGAAAGTAGATACTATATCTGAAATACCAGAGCTCGGTTGATAAATGTGAAAATGATTCACTTTAAACAATAGTAAACAATCATTCGTAAATTGTCTAGACCATCTACATTCACCGTACGTCTCCCATGCATCGACACTATCCCGGGAGATCGTCACACCATCTAATACCTTGTCCGTGGAACTCAAATCTGCATGTCTATTCCTTGCCCATACCTGGTGAAACCACCTCTTCTCAAGACCCTCTGGCCATCTACCAAAACTTCTGCACAGCTAGAGCCACTTGACTCGCCTTTACCGGCGGTGCCCACTGTTTGTCACCCTGACCGTTGTCAATAAGAACTCCGACACCATCCATCTTCTGGACGAGCTTAAGGGCAGGGCCAAACGCCGCTTCGTACATTTCCTCCCGCGCCGTACTTCCTCCGCTACCCCAAGCCGCCACGCACCCGAGAGGGAGCGTCTCGTTCTCCTGGAAAGCCGCTTCGGCCGCAGCCGACACCACGCTGGCCTCGTACCATGTTGTGAACACACCCCGTTGGGGGTCGTCCACAGCCGGCGTCGCATACGCGGTACCCACGGAAGATCCTTCATTACCAGGTCGCTTGGTCAATGCCATGAGCCAGTTCCACGAGATATCCAGGAAAGTCTGCAAGTCTGCGCTCTGGAAGCGACCCACGTTGCGGACACGCGCTGAGAGGACTGCAGTCGAATACGATTGGCTGTCGGTCTTGACCTCGCGAAGGTCGTAGGCGAATTGGAACTTGGGGCTCGTAATTGGACTGGGGCTGTTTTCGGTACGATTTGGTTAGCCGTGATTCAAACGAGTGTGATGATGGCTGGAAGAAAAAGAAACCACAAAGTAAAAATAAAAGAAAACCAAAACGAAAAAATTATATACGTACGGAACGACCAAGGTGTGCAAAAGGGCACGGGCGAAATCGCCGTACTCTTCCTCCAGCTTGTCGATCTTGCTGTACGATACCGAAACACGGGCGTCCCAATGTCGCCGAATGCAGTGGATCCATATAGGTGGTCGAGTGTCTTCGACACTGCGAATGGCGTAAGTGAACAGTCCAGGCTCTGTCCCGTCAATTTCGATGACAAAGGGACTCAGTGCCTTGATGACATTGTTGCTATTCATGTAAACACGTTGGCACTTAAACTCGTAAACGATCCGTTTCTCGTGGAAGTTCCAGTCCAGATTCATCGGAGCTGACCCGCCATTGGTTTCGATTTTGTTTTCCGGCTCGATCTTGGGCAGATGGGTGGTGTCGTCGGCGGACTGGTCACCAAAGACGGTGTTTTGATTGACACCGATAATGCTTTCCATGTCGTTGCCGAACAGAGTCAGCGCCTTGGTGAACACAATGCTCTCAGGCGAGACGCAGATTGTGTCCAGTCGCGTGACGATTTCAGTGTGCGGCCAGCCCGACGCGGCCTCGCCAGGTAAATTGAAGGCAAGGCCTTCTGGACTGGCATCCATGATGTACACACGGCCCAGCTCGACCTGCAGCCGGATCCGACCTTTGGCGTACGGCAGATCTGCCATGAGGCGGCCAATACTGGTGCAGAGCCCAGTTGCAAACGTGGTTCGCCGAACGAGTGCTTTGCTCAACACAGAAGTAGCTCTGGGTACAATAGGGCGCACATTACCTTGGCCGAAGGGTACGAGCTGGTTTTGTAGAGATGCAGAGGAAGAAGTGTCTCGAGGAGCCGGGGGATCGAGTTGGATCAACAAATTAGTTTGCCCTGAGGTGGAAGTGACAGGATCTACCGCTGACAATGACGGTGGTAATTTTGTTTTGTCCACGAAATCAATGAGTGGCTCCTCCTCGATCGGACCATCTGTCGGTCCCAAATTAACTGTGCTCTTGACGCTATGATCACCATTATCACCGTTTGCAATTTTCGCTTGTTCATCAAACTTGGAGGTGATTTTGGGCACACTCTCACCATAGCCGTTTTTGGAGCTGTTCATAAAGTCCCAAAGAAGTTTCATCTGGTAGGTGTGCTTGTCAGATTGAAACGAGGAGGGCATAGGAGGCGGCTGAACTGGCGGTACAGACTTTCCATTTGAATTTTCACAGCTAGAATCAGGCTCAGACGATGGAGAGGAAGCCGGCAGAGATACAAGGGAATGAGAAGTTCCAGATGCTGAGACTGCTTTCGGATCTGGAATATCCAGCCCGAGGAGATCGAATTGCTCTGACGGTGCCGGCACTTTATTGGCCTCATTTTCCTTGAGGTGTTCGTTTGTTTTGTCGTTTTCAAAGAGGGTAGGTACCTTCCCATAGGACACAGTCTCTGCCGATGGCAGGACAGTCGGCGGCTTCTGCACTGCCTTTTCTACTAGACCCTTCTTGGGTGCCGTCACGCCCAGAATCTTCGGCCTATACTCCGCCTTCTTGAACCACAAGGGCCATTTCCGTGCTTGGTCGGTGAAGATCTGAGGTGACCTGGGGCCAAAGAGGGAGACTTCCGTCCGTTTAACATGGTCAAAGGTGCAGATGCGAAGACAGACTCCCTTTGCGAACACGGTCTTGAACATGCGGTTGAGCATCGCTTCAGGGAACTGGCTGGGATCGAAGATGGTGGAAGTGAGCATGTTGCCGTTGACGTGGGCCATGAAGCGAGCATCTACATGATACGGGCCTTCGGACTCTGCATACAGCAAATGCTTCGGGGATGGCATGATGAATATCTGAGAGTAATATTGTTAGTTAATTTGCGAACACCTGGAATAAAGGAAGCGAAACATGTTCGAGCACCATGCATACGTACAAACTTGTTGAAAAGATTGTCAAGCAACTTGTTGGCCTTAGCCACTTCATCTCGCGTCGCTCCGCCGATGTAGACCAGCCGAGCAGTGGTTGTATCAATCGCAACATGGGCACCCGACAGGGCCATGATAGACTGCCGAGCTTCTTCGTCGAGGACCTTGTGCACCGAGATACTGTCGGGCATTTCGTTCTTAACGCGTGACCAAACTTTGCGGAAATTGAACCGGTCGAACGTAACTGGGCACAACTGGTCGATAACTGCCTTTTCGACTGGGTCAATCGGAAGGTCACCAGGAGTCGGAAGCTTCAGCCACATATTGTTGGTTGGGACCTAAACCTTTAGTATATGAACAAGACGTGACACCCAGGGCTCACAATTAATGAAACACAGCAATGCTCGTCCCTTGCTTACCCGTTGACCACCTAGGCTGTGCTCCATCTCGTCATGAACCTCTCGAAAGATAGCCTGTACATGACGCACATCGGTGGCCCGGCAAGACACCTTGAACCAGCTCAAGTCCGGATCGAAGGTGTATTGGCCGCCGGGATTCTTCTTGCGCAGTGCTTCGAAGACGCGTTCAACACCGGCAGCATGGTACTGCCAGATGCTGGAGAGGTAGATTTCGACGAGATTGTTGGTGTCCATGATGTCGAGAACAGCCGCAGCTGCGACGACCCGAAGGAGCTCTTGTGACGGTGAATGTGATGTAATAGATGAGTGTTGAAGGTAACGGCACAAACGGAAATCAGGAGAACGGGGCAAGTGGTAAGTCGAGATTCAAAGATTTGGTTGCAACGGAAGAGGGCGTTTTGCAGTGGGATTGCAAATCTTTGGAGATAATAGTCGGACCAAGACCAAGGTGAGGCTCGGGGTAGAAGGCAAACTAAAATGTAGGCGACGTAGAACTAGGTTGAAGTTTGCGACAGCTTGGTGATAGGGTGGAGAGAGACAATTGGTGTTGTGAGTTGGCAAGGTGAATAGGCCTCAATGGACGGCGGCGGAGCGAGGCCTATGAAAAGCATTATGCAATTTTGCTCAATGATGGCCGTCCTGTCGAATTCCAAACTGTCAAAGAAGCTTCCTTTGGATTTAGCTGGTAGCCCCAAGGCAATAGCAGGAGAAGACGTTTGTTTGCGATCACAGGATGAAGTAAGCGAAGCTTTCTGCAGCAATGGTTATTCTGAGAAGAGAGCGAGAGCAACAGAACTAAATTTTGCGACCAAATCAAGAAGAAAATCAACTCGACAGGATTCGACTACTGAGATGTTCTGACAAGCAGACCTGGGATGGCATGACTCAAACTGGAAAGAGCACGTCACGTAACCATTGCTCCTTCCTGTACAAAACGCGTGGCGTCGAATGAAAAGCCAGGTATGTAATTGGAAGGGGTTTGGGAGCAATGGGCTCAAACCAAGTCTTCCGATTTAGCTGGCGTGTTGCCAGTAATGGGACTTAAGTATTATATTTATAAAAAGAGCAGAATTGTGCTGGGTTCTCGTACATGGTAGATGAGCCGCCATATTAGGTGGTGATAAGGTAGTTGGCGCATGGCATTACTCTAAATAGACACAAACACACATCCAGTAGTTGAATGATAAGAATACGAAAAGGGTACACTTGAACTAATGCCGAGGTTGTCGACAGTATGATGAACATTACCTGACCACCCCTCTTTGACGAAATAAAATCACAGCCATACCTCTTCTCCCAACCTTAAGAGTCCCGACCTGATAAGGTATGTCCATCTATGGCATATTTACATTTTCCCGAGCCTCAGTCTTAGATGTCGTGTAGATAATAAGCCAAAAAAGCCCATGGACAGTAGCCGTAGGGACGAACAGAAATTAGATACGGAAATGGAATAGAAAGAAACAAATAGAAGTCGACGTTCTGTTCTTGGAAGCATACAAAATGATCGGTCCTTCAGCTTGACTAAGGTTTTGCAGCGAAACAATTGGGAGCGATATCGCTCAGATAATGAACAACGCCGTACTCCGTCTATCCAAACCCAAAGATTGCCCATCATGAATGTGAATCAAAATAAATACATTGGCAAAAAGTTGTAGTTTTGTTGTGTCGTAAGAATCGTTGATGCTGTGGGTGTTGTGGATGGAGAATATAAAAGCTGATTAGTTTCTGTCTGCCCACTTTGACGGGGAACAGTTGGATGGGTGAAGCAGTAAATGTTCTTGGGGAAATGGCTTAGGAAGCCCAGTCGATGGTATTTTTTATGTTGAGTGACCACTTCAGCTTGTCGAGGACTTGGCGGGCTTCTTCCAGCGTACCCTCCTGCTCGGCCTCGCGCCTTGCAGCATTCGTCTTGATGTCGTGCAGCAAATCTTCTTGCTCTTTCTTGTATTCAGCAAACTTGCGGGCGATGTCTTCCTTTTGCTGTATAAGAAGCTTGATGTTGCTGTCCTGTTGGTCGCAGAGGTCGCGGAGCATGTTGATCTTTTCGTCGTCTTGCCGCCGCGCCTCGGACAACTCCTTAACGTCCTTGCCCATGCGAGCAGCGGCCCTTTTGACAGTTTCGCCTTGGTCGCGCCAGTGGCTGCTGATGGCATTGTAGCGGCCCTCCATCAGCGCAGCGTGTCCGGTTGCCTCTTCAACTTGCCGCTTGGAGTCGAATTTGATTTTTTCCATCTCCTCGCGCCAAGTACGTTCGCGATCTTGCGCGTCAGTGGTCCGTTTCTTCTCGAGCTGGACGATGCCTTGTAGGCTTTCGACTTGCCGTTCCTTGCGTGCAAGCAACGTCTTGGTCACGCTGGCCTCGAACAACTGGCTCTCGTAGTCTGAGATGATGCGTTCCATCTTGTCCTCAAGCAGGCGTGCTGCCTGTTTCGCTTCTTCAGCTTTCAGCGCTTCGATTTTGAGATCCCGTTTTAAGGCTTCGTTGTCGGACACGAGACGATTAATCACGCGTCCTGTCTTTCCCAAGCCTGCCTTTCCAACAGTCGAATCCCACCCATTGCCGCCCACGCCATCCACTTGTTGGCCATCGGTCATAGCATCTCTATTTCCTGCTGAGTCATTGAAACCTCCCCGGCCGCCAGTGGGTGAGTCAAATGAGGTGACACTCATGCTTGCTGCAATGGGCATTTTGCTAGCACCCTTTGACAAACTACTTTCCCGTGAGGGAGTGCCCATGTCAGGCCGTATTGTGGAGCTGTCAGAGCGGGCCGAGGGGACCTCAAGGTTGGAAACCCTGGAACCGGAGGGGAGCGATGCAACCGCCGCGCTGTGTTTTAAGCGTCCGCCGTTGGATTTTGAGTCGCCCGGAGGGGATTGTGGCTGTGAGGTGAATGATGACGTGCTGACGTTGCTGTTGACAGAGCTGGAGAATGCCGAGTTGGAATTTCGGGTGAGGGATGGTGAACTGGTTGAGGATGCGTCGTCAAACGACTGTCTCGGTTTGTCGTCAAAGCTAGTAACGGCACGAATGGTGGACAGGGTTCGCGAAAGGCCTCCAGAGGCAAAACTGCCGTTCAGATGGGATGGCACGGCAGAGGATGCAGGTGATAGTGACGGTGACGATCGTGCAATAGTAGTCATTGCTGGTACGGATGGTAACGGCTTGTCGCCACGGGTCGAGCCTCTAGAGTTACGGCGCATGGCTGTATCGCCCGCATCGGCTTTGGTTGGTGACGTTGGTGGTGTGTCATTCGGTGCTGACGACGTCCGAGTGTATGCCGGTTCTTGCAAGATCAGTATGTGGAGACGTAGTATCGTAATTTGTGATTTTGTGAAAGGTATGGGAAAGCCTGTGCAGTTGGCACCCCGGATGAGAAGAGAAGGATAAACAAACAGGGCGTAAAGAGGGTGTGGGTGTGTGGAGGTAGAGGCGGAGCAGGACGTGAAGAACCAGGAAGGTGGAAACGTTTCGATGGATGGGATGTTTGGGCGCCGAGAACAATGCAAGGTCCTGGCCAGGCCCCAAGGCCGTAAAAGACAGCCCACCAAAGTTACGAAAGCGTCTACCCTGTTGTCGTTCGTCACACAAGACGCATAACAAAGCGAATCCACAAATCACGTACCTTTTGAGTCGTCGGCTTGCGGGAGCAGGCTACTGGCTTTCGTTGAACTGACAGACTGTTGACGTGGTGACTTTCTCAGCCTGTTGCGCATGTCTGGCGAGCGAGACAGGCCTCAGAAAAGGCTCCTCAAACAATTTGTTCAAGATACCGAAGACAAGAGAAGACCGGCTCCAGGGAAATGCCCTATGGAGCGGCCAACAGAGTGTTGCTTCGAGGGGACCAACTGTTTGCGCTGGCAGTCGCTTTTTCAGTGCGTATTTGCTGATAGCTCGGATACTTTGACTATCCCTTATTTTTTTGCAACGGCGCGTGCCTATAGTGGCTGGCCTAACTATTTGGCGTCGATCCTGGCGTGTATCAAACGACGGACGTTGCGATGTGGCGGGTTTAGTCGACACGATGGAGTTGGAAGCGTGTTCACGGGGTAAAAATATGGATGTAGACTGAACGAATTTGGAGGTAAGGAGACAATGGTACGATGCAGATGCCCTGGGTTGTCATACTATGGGAAGGCGCTACCAAATCGACAAGACGGGATGCCGCTTCCTTTCCTTTTTTTAGTGTTCACGGCGGTGAAATCTGTGCCTTTGGAACAACTGCCTTTGTTTTGTTTAGCGAAAAGGGGCCTGCGTCAGAGGCATGCTTAATGGTTAGGGGGCGTGCAGAGAGGTCTGTGTTCAGAGCAGAGTTTGGCGGAGACTTAGTCGTGTTTTAGCGTGTATTTTCCGTCCTTTTGCGCGATCCACTTAACGCGCCAGTTAAACTGATGGCAGGAGCAAAAACACAACTGTCCCAGCAACCGTGTCAGCTCGTGTAAATGCAACACAGGTGCGGTTGGACGGCGCGATAATGCATAGAAATGCACTTATCCAGACTTAAGGGGTAGTCTGATCTCACAGAAGGATTGTTGTTGTCTGTCAGCTAGCATTGAGGCTGAAGAGTCCACTGCAGGGGGGGCTTCTTTTCCCAAAACGAAACAAACAGTGCTTTAAGCTGCATATTGCGGGAAGTTAACACCATGGAAATCGTTTGATGGGTTGAGAGTTTTAATTAATAATTCGGCACAGTTGGGCGATATGTGGCTTGACGATGTGGCTTACGTGCGCTCGGCTATCACGAGGAAAACGTGGTCTGTGATATTTCCACGAGAGGCGGACTTTTGGTTGAATGAACAATTTCGGGGCTCCAGTGATGAGCAATGCTCGTATCTTACTGTCGTATGATGCCACATACCCGCACTTCCCGCCGGAAGATACACCATCTGGTTTGTTTTCTCAGCCACCTGTAATCCCAAATCTTCCTAGACGTACAAACATCCGGTAAATCAATCACTGCAGTCTCAATACTATGTAGGCATGCCGTGCAGAGTCGCTTGCCGGGTCTGAACAGCGGGTTTGATAGCCACTGGACCACTCTAACTCATATCACGATCTTTTCTGTGCCCACTTTGGCGTCCTTGTCCACCGCCGCTACTTCAACAGTCTCCGTCGACGACCCTCTCAACAGGACGCACCAGCCAATCAGAACGGACTTTCCCCTGCGCGTTGGCGCGCACGGGCCAGCCCATACCAACAACAAACTTAGCGGTGAGTGAGCGCGGGGGACCGCAGTTAGGGTAGTAGTACCTCTTAACTGGTGACAAATCGCTGTATCTAAAAGTATTTTTTCGTTCTTGACGCGTTCCTGCCCCTTTCCCCTCTTGTTGCTCCCCCCTGCTCCGTAATTGCCCCTCCTCGACAGTTCACCGCACAAATATCCTTCACATTTACAGAAACTCATTTCCTGGGTCTCCCACTCGCCGACTTCCTCCCCTTTTCTTCCGGAGTTTCACGTCTTCTGAACCACTGGCCAGTCGCTACGTCTGCCCAGCTCTACCCCTGGCCATACTGTAGTGTTGTGCTTGCTTTTTTTTCTCCGTTCATATTTCTCCCTTTTGATTTTCCCTCCTTCCCAACGGCTGTTTCCTTTTGTGCCAACCACTACAACGGACAGGAACGCTTCCCATCGTCCGTCTTTCCTCTCACCATTTTTGCCAACTTCTTTCTCCTCTACGCGACCTTAGATTTGAGTAACAATGAAGGGCGAGGTAAGTCTAACAGAACAACTGTGCCGTTGCGGCAACTCCCCGTAACCTCTTTCGCTCCGGCCGTGACATCTGCCGATATGACACTGTGGACGAGGCCGAATCTCGGCATCAAAACAGCTTGATGCTGAACTGTTCGCACCACCAACTTCGTTCCTCAACATGCCGTCAGATCAAACAGTCCCCCATACCCAATATCATAGCCCTATCGCTCCGCCTGCCGTCCAAATTCGGGCCCGTATACTGACAGTTCGTGCCAGGTTCTTCACCTTCACCTGGGCCAGGCTGGTACCCAGCTTGGTAACAGTGCCTGGGAGCTGTAAGTATTTTATGTTGTCCTTTCGTATTGGTGCTCATTTACCCCTGTTGCTATTTGCACACGGCTTACGCCTTCCGCAGCTACCTTCTTGAGCACGGCCTGAGCGCTGACGGCCGTCCGGACCCCAACCTGAAGGACATCGGCGAGGGTGGCTCGTACGAGACCTTCTTTACCGAGACCAGTAACGGCAAGTATGTGCCGCGGTCTATCTTTGTCGACCTCGATCCGTCTCCGATCGACGAGATCCGTACCGGCAACTATCGCCAGCTCTTTCATCCTGAGCTGCTTATCAGCGGCAAGGAGGATGCCGCCAACAACTACGCCCGTGGTCACTACACCATTGGCAAGGAGATGGTCGACAACGTCATTGACCGTATCCGCCGTGTCGCCGGTAAGTTGCACAAACCTGTTTAAGCGACTAGTTTAATGGTTTGCTTGTATCTTATATGAATTGTTCCTAACGTCTCCTTGCTAGACAACTGCAACTCCCTCCAGGGCTTCCTGATCTTCCACTCTTTCGGTGGTGGTACCGGCTCTGGTTTCGGTGCTCTGCTGCTGGAGCGTCTGTCTACGGAGTACGGTAAGAAGTGCAAGCTGGAGTTTGCCATCTACCCGGCTCCCCGTGTCTCCACCGCCGTTGTCGAGCCCTACAACGCCGTTCTGTCGACCCACAGCACTATCGAGAACTCGGACTGCACGTTCCTCGTCGATAACGAGGCTGTTTACGACATCTGCCGCCGCAACCTGGATATCCCTCGCCCCGACTACGAGCACCTGAACCGCCTCATCGCTCAGGTTGTCAGCTCCATTACCTCTTCTCTGCGCTTCGACGGTGCCCTGAACGTGGATCTGAACGAGTTCCAGACCAACCTGGTCCCCTATCCGCGTATCCACTACCCGCTGATCAGCTACGCTCCTGTCGTCTCTGCGTCCAAGAGCGCTCACGAGAGCTTCAAGGTCCACGACCTGACTTTCCAGTGTATGTGCTGTTTTACAAAGCCGCCCAATTCAAGCAAGTAATGAATGATGCTAACCCGCCCAGGTTTCGAGCCCAACAACCAGATGGTTGTCTGCGACCCCCGCAACGGCAAGTACATGGCTGTGGCTCTGCTGTACCGCGGCGACGTCGTTCCCCGCGACTGCAACGCCGCTGTTGCTGCCCTGAAGGCGAAGGCGTCGTTCAACCTGGTCGAGTGGTGCCCTACTGGTTTCAAGATCGGCATCAACTACCAGAAGCCCGTGGCTGTGCCGACCGCCTCGCCCACCGACGGAGGCCTCGCCAGTGTCGACCGCTCCGTCTCCATGCTGTCCAACACTACCGCCATTGCCGAGGCATGGTCGCGTCTCGACCACAAGTTCGACCTCATGTACAGCAAGCGTGCCTTCGTGCACTGGTACGTTGGTGAGGGTATGGAGGAGGGTGAGTTCAGCGAGGCCCGTGAGGATCTTGCTGCGCTTGAGAAGGATTACGAGGAGGTGGCCGCCGATTCGTTCGAGGCTGAGGAGGGCGACATTGAGTACTAATTTATAGTATCTCAACTCAAGTAAAGGCCCAAGTTAAGCGAGCCGATTATCCCCTCCTTTCGTTTTGTTGTTCTTATTGACCGTTGTTGCTTTTCTTGCTTATCCTCCAACGAACAAACAACCCTGTTTTGTGTTTTATGACTCGCCACCGTTTCCTCCCTTAGCTCCTCTACTTCCTATTTCCCACCCTTTTTTATTTTCGTATTTCTAGGGTACATATGACGACCAAATGAGCGTGACTTGTCGATTCAAGAGTGAAACCACAGAATATGATATCCGAGGATTTTATCCGCCCCTATTTTCTTTTCATTTAATTTTATCTTTCCTATTCTTCTTACTTTTGCCTGGTGCTACGTGGGATGCTTTTTGGTTAAAAGTCGGAGAGGTGAACACTCCTGTCTTTGCGTCTCGTCGCGTCTTTGTGGGTTGAAGTCATGAACTGGTCCCTTTCTACATTGTAAGACAATTATTGTGCCAGAAAAGAGAGAAACGAGAAAGAATAAAGTGTCACATGGTCTCTATAGGATTACACAACTGTTGGTGCAAACAAAATGCCAACAGAGAATATCAAAGGCGCCCAATAAATCTGTTAAAAAATAGCAGAACATACTTTTCTCACCTCTCAGCAACACGATATTTATGCGTTGCCACCCTTCTTTGCCCTCCAGTTAGCAGCACGGCCTGCCTGTCGCACCTTCTTCCGCGAGGCATCACTGCCTGGAGGGCCATTGCGAGGGCCGCCGCCTTTCTTGCCTCCCTTGCTCTTTTTAAAAAGGTTGACGCCACCCACGCGGGCGCGCATGCCCTCAAAAACCATTGGTTTGCCATCAGGGCCAGCGGCGCCGAGAGGTGCCGTGGCCGCAGACTTTCCAAGCAGCTTCGCCGCACGCCCAGCTGACGTTTGCTGTTCCGCCGTTAGCTTGGGTTTGTAGCCTGTGGTGCTATTGCGCCCGCGGCCCTCCCGCGTGCCGAGTGCCTCGGGCTTGCCGTTGACCTTGCGCTGGGCACGCTCAATGGCGCGCGCGGTCTTGTATGGTGCCTTGCAGCGGCTGACACGCAATGTGCGCGGCAACAAGGGCGGGTACTTTTTATCGTTGAGGAGAAGTGCAGCCTCAACACTCGTTGCATCCTTTATAGCTTATTAGCAACGTGACAAAAGATATGACAGTGCAAAATGAGTTTGGGCAATGAGACGTACGTAGAACTGGACGTAGGCAAAACCCTTGCCTACGCGCGTAACCTGATCGCGGACTACGCGCACGCTCTCGACCTTACCGGCGTGCTTGCCAAATGTACGCCAAAGACCCTCGTCGATATCCATAGGTGTCTTGTTGCGCTTCTTGCGTGTCATCTCGCCGCCGTCGCCATCAGTGTCGGGGTTGGCGCTCAAGACCGTCTCGTCGTCAACAAAGCCCAGGTTTCCAACGAACACGCACCGCTTGTGGTCAACGGGCGCAGGATGGGCCACGCTATCGACGCGCAAGTGGCGGTCGAGTACAACAGTGCCGTTGAGCTTGCGCACAGCAGTACGTGCGGCGGCGGCAGTCGAGTATACGACATATGCATTGCAAGATTGCGCGGTGGCGCCCATGACAGACTTGGTGATGAAGGACGCCCGCTTCGGCAGCGCTGCTGACGAGAAGGGAACGGACCGGAACCGCAAGCTCTCCACCGTGGGCTGCTTCTCCTCGTCGTCCTCACCATCCCTAGTCTCCTTCGACTCTTTGTCCTTGGCTGCCTTGTCGTCCCGGATAGACTCAAGGTGTGATATAAGAGTCTTCTTGGCCGTTTTATTGGTGACGGCGCTGATGCTGACATTGGAAAGGAAAACTGTGCGATCCGCCTTGGCCTTGTTTTGCTCGTCGATTTGGCCATTTGTAGAACCATCTTCTGCGCCACCAGTAGCGGCGTTCAAAAGAGATTCGTGGATGATAGGCTCGTCCGCGTCGTCGATTTCCTCGCCGCCGGTCAGACCGTCAGCCATCACCTCGTCGGAGTCGACGGCCTCAGAAGCATCATGCTTGGCCTTTTTCTCCACAGGACCTCCAATCTCCTTCTCAAGCTTGTCGAAGTAGCGGTTCTCTAGATCGTCGTTCTCGTCCTGGGTTTTCCTCTTCCTCTTGCTTGCACCAGTCTTCGAACCGGTGGGTACGGCGAACGGAGCCTCTTCTTGTGCACTAGCGTCGGCGGATTCGTCATTCTCAGCCTCGTCATCGTTGGAGTCGTCGGAGTCGGAGTCATCATCTTCGTCGTCTCTATCTTCGTCATCGTTCTCTTCGCTATCTTCAATGGAAGCTTCCTTTTCCTCCTTGGTTAGAGGCTGGACGGTGTCGGTTTTCGGCGCTGCTCTTGGCTTCGACGATACCAGAGGTTCGTATTTTGGTTTCGCATTTGCCTCAACTGGTCCAACCTGAAGTATTATGTCAGTTCGAGCTGCGTATGGACTCATACGTTGGATCTCGTAACGTACACTGGATGCAAAGAGGGCATCGAGAGTGGGATCCACAGCCTTCTTCGCAGCAGAGAATACAGATTTTCTGTTGTTTTCGTTTGTATTAGTTTTTGAACACTTGAAAAGGCGGGAGATTGAAGAAAACTCACGGGTTCCCCATTGTGAACGTCTTTGCGGAGAAATGAGCTCACGGTCCAGAATGACGCTCTGCACTTCAAAAAAAAAACCAGGCAGAAAAAATACTGCTGCGATTTGGGAAAATGATAACGATAACTATCTTATCAGAACGTGATTCGGTTGGCGTCAGAGCTGCCGAGACCACAACTGTAGCTAAAACCAAGATAGGCCTTGTACAGTACCTATATAGACAGAGGTATACAAAAATTCGCATATAATACAAGCGCTGAAGTAGGTCCCTAAAAGTATGTATATGTTGACTAGCCACATGATCTAGCTTTTGACAACATTTGAGTTCTGCCAACTGACACCGCCCAAGCAAGGATCTGGTCATCTGCTTAGCGCACTGTCCACTCACTAGAGAAGCGCGAGAGACGAAAAATGGGCTGTGACAGCTGGGGGGAAAGAGCGAGTAACAAGGTCCGCTTCGCGCAAGTGGCATTTCACCCACCGGTTTCTGCGTCTCCCACAAAAACGCTCTCCGCTCGCGATCCGCTCTGAGTCGTCTGTCTACGTTATCACGCACCTACAAACTGAGCGCCCGTTTTCTTGATCGGCAACTGCTTGCGAATCAAGATTTGCGACTTGTCTTCGCGTTTGACGCTCGGAAGCAGCCCATTTTGCCGTTGTCCTGGGGCAGACCCGACCGGCGGGTTTCTAGCTGTTTCCCACACTCTCTTTTCTACCTCTGATTCTCAATTCATCGCTTCTCGACCGTCACCCACGACGACCTCTCCCTTCCTTCTGCGAACTAGACATTCTCCCTATACCGCCCCGATTGGTGCCCAGGGCCATTCCTACGACCAAACTGACTGCCGTTGTCGCTGTCGACGATGGCTGCCGACGACGAAGCATCTGACATGGCCACCTCGAGCCCGCCCCTTCTGGCACAACCCGACCACAGCCCTAGCAATGCGTCAAGTCCCCTCACCGAGGTCGAAGACAAGGATGGAGAACCGGATGAGATGGAACTTGACGGGCCGGTGCACAACTCGTCGTCATTAAGCAACGTCAACCTAGACGACGACGAAGACAACGGCTCCAGAGCGGCACGATCACACTCGGGATCGGACAACGAAGACGAGTCTGCCCTGTCTGAAGTTGAGCCGGATATCAACGACTCGGAAGCTGAGACTGAGCGTCTTTATGAAACGCCCACCAAGGTGAAGAACATCAAGAATGGGGTTGACGCCGAGAGCAGTCCAGAGACGGTCACAAGCCCGACACAGCGCCTTACTCAGACGCGGGATCGCACCTTCCAAGCTAGCCCGAGCAAGCTGAAGCAGCAACTCCACGCCGACTCTGATGCGGGCGAGGACGACGAGGACGATGATGCGCTCTCTGACGCGGAGGACGAGGAGAACAATGAGGCCGACGGTGAAGAAGAGGCTGCTGCAGACGATCGTGAGACCACGCGGAGCAGTCGGCGACGGTCGCTGGCTGCCAGAGAGCAGTCCAAAAAACTCGGGCAATCGCCTTCCACCGGGGCGAAAACAAAGGAGAATGCAAATGGCGACAAAGAGGACACACCTGCGCCGACGCCCGTGCTTCTCCGCAGCCAGCGCTCCAATTCCGATACGCGCAAACGCAAGCGCTCGCCCACTACGGACCCATCCGAATCTGATCAACCGCTGCGAAAGCGCATTGGCTCTGGCAGCGGTGGCACTGGTCGTGACGCGACAAACCCGATTGCCGAGGACATTGACGGCGAAAATGCGTCTGCTAGAAGGCCGAATGGTGCAACCGACGATGACGTCGCCAAGACAGGAGCCGACGAAAAGGCCGAAGCAGACAATTCGGCAGAAGGCACAAGTAGTGACACGTTCCAGGCTAGAAGGTCAAAGCGTGGCAGCGCCAAGAAGCGCACCAACTCGGACGAGGGCGACGATGATGCGAATGAAGACCAGAACGATGAGGCGTTGGAAGATGGTGACCTGGCCACGGCAGAAGAGGACGCTGCGGGCCATGGAGATGACGAACCGATCGACGGCGACATTGACGAGGAGGCCGAGGCGGCCCACCGGAACGAAGAAGAGTGTACGGTTTACCTGATGGGAGAAACGACATCGCCGGAGCAAATGAGGGCAGACCATGCTGACCATGAGATTACTACAGTGGAGAAGAAGAAGGCAGCCCTCGAAAACCTGCACGCAATTGAGAAGCAATTTGCGTCTTTCCGAGACAAGTCCGTACTCCCATCTCATATGCCGTTTTCTTGCCTACTTACTTTTGCAATTCGACTGCTAACGATGACAACAGACTCTATCAGGAACGGTTAGACCAACTCAACCAAGAGGAAGAGATGCTAATTGGCGACAACCCGACACACCCTGAATACCTAGCCATGATGCAGTGCGTAAATGAACGACGCGACGAGAAGCTCCGCGTAATCGACGTGGAGTACGACTTCAACCTGCAAACACTCAAGCGCTGGGCAGTGGCTCGACGCAGCCATATCCACGGCCAATACTTCCAGAGTATACGCGAGTCACGCGAACTCGTCCTTGAGGAGCTCGGCCGGCAATGGTACCAGATCCAGCAACAGCGGAGGCGCCACGCCAACACGATCCCCGACTACGGCCTGCAGTTCCCGACGGCAAACACGCAACGGGTCAAGGATGCGATCACATACAACAAAGAAGTGTCCATTCTGTCCGGCATTGCTAAGTACGAGGGCTTCCCTGCTGCGCCACAGATCAAGGGCGCCTCAACAACGCAAGTTGACGACGACCTCGAAGCTATTGCTGTAGGTGTTGCCTCTCTCCTATCACATTGGTCGATCCTACCGCAAAAATTGGACTTATGTACTGATTTCATATTTTCCTGCTCACAGAGGAGCCGGCAAACAGTGCCAACGACGCATATTCCCGCGCAACCCCAACACTCACACGTGGGGCAAAGCCATTTTCCATTCTCAGAACTAGCTGGCAGCGCCGCAGCCAGCTCTATTGTCAATGGTACCAGTGCCAGTGCCAACGGTGGCAGCGCCGGCCCAGTGTCGTTCCACAGCCTTGGGGCAGCAGGTCAGCAATTCTTGGCGGACACGCCGTGGGCGAACCCACACCATCCTTCACATCATGTTCAACGACAGCTACAGGGGTCCCCAGTGGCCAATTCCTATCAACCAGCGGCAGTGCCGGCGGCGTCGGCGTCGGCGTCAGCCGTAAGCAGTCCCTTCCCTGGGCAGCAAGCGCCGTTGGCACCAGCGCTGCGAAAGCCACTGCCACAGCAGGTGGGAACCGGTAACCATCTGCCGAGTCACCAGAACATGCCATACCAGCACCAGGCACGCATGAATGGCGGCGTTGCACACGGCGACACAACCCAGGCCGGACAGCCGCTGGGACAGATGCCGTCTAAGAGAGAGGCAGCTGCAACAGTGTCGTACTAGATAAGCTACTGTGAGCACCCATCGGAAATTCGCTCGGAATGCGTCTTTTGAGACCCCCCAGGTCTTGAAATCGGTGAAGGTGAGTGTACGGTTCGTTTGGGATTGTGCACTGTCTTTCCTTTCTGTCATGTAATGTACGGTGCATAGTTTATTTTTTTTCTCGTTGGATTTCCTATGTCTTCACTGACTTGTCTTGTCCTTTGCGCTGCACATATTCTCGTGTTTTTGCTGTTGGCTTTGTGGGAACCGGCGACACGGCCGTGGCCTGACTTCTGTTTCATTATACTTAACTGGGCGGATCTGGGTGGCTTCTTTGTTTTGTAACTATGTTTTGTTTTTGTTTCTTTGCTCGCTTTGACGTTTATACGTCGGTGTGCGTCGTTTGACTATTGTTTTGACTGCTTAGGAGTTGATTGATATTTCAGGGATTGTCATCGTCATTTATTTTCTGTTTTTAACTTCTCATACGAGAGGTAGCGTTTAAATGAACACCACGCCACCGTGCTTTCTGACATGATCAAGCAATGACTGATAATCTTATTCACTTTTTGAAGCTTTTAAGATTGCTTAACAGAAGAAGGGATTTAATATGTCATCATACGCATACGCATTATCTAGGCCGGGCCATTGCACCAGGTTCTCCCCTTCATATGATGATACAGCGTCGTAGAACGTAGTTTTCAAATCGTTAAATGTTCATTGCCTGGTTTCTATCCAATATAGACGCGTATAACCACAGCTTTTCATCCATCATTGTATGGCCGAGGTGCATGCCGCAGCACGTGTCGAGTGGCCAAGGTATGCAATTGTCGTCCTGGTGCCGTCCGCATCACTTTTTCGCCAATGCCTGTGTTTGTGTTTGTATTTGTGAAGTCTGCTGTGCTTGTTGGGTGCGCTGCTGAATGGATTGCGCCGGCTCGCTCGGAACCTGAACATCGTCAAAGTCGTCCTGGCCGATTACGTGGATCGTGTAGGCATCTGGGCGACCACAACGGTTAGCAACCGGTTCTAATTCCACTCCTCAAGTATTGACCGAGGCCGTTTACTTACAGACACCCAGGGCAAAGGAGGAGATACCGAGACCCAGCACTGTGTTCTTGAAAAGGTAGGGCCGACGGGCGCGAATGAGGGCCGGCGACTGGCGCATGCGCCGATCGTAGTAGGAGGAGTGCTCAACGCTACAAAGAGGTGTATATCAGTAGTGGTCAATAAAATGGGGGATCTCGAAAAGAAACGTACCCAGACATTGCGAATCGTTGTCTTGTAAGGTTTTGTTGTAAAGCCAAATCCGTCTTAACGTCTTTGATGGTGCCGTAATGATCGCCTGACGAAAAGTTCCGAACAGGAAGTGTGCAAAGGATGACTAATACTTCGTATACCGGAGCTGTAGTATGTAGCATGAGGTAGCATGCAGCTGAACATAGGTAGCATTAAACAAATGAGGTACAATAAACCGACCAGATGGCGCTAGTCCACGTTCAGCAAACTTTGGCTGTTCCTTGCTGTCGCCCTTACCCCGTCAGTGCGCTTTAGCGCTATGAACCGCGCCCAGATGCGCCAGCACAAACTCGACCTGCATTTTCGTGTCATGCTCCAGTTTGCGACCTGCGGCCAGAACCTCCTGTACGAAGCCTTTTTAACTTCCTTTTGTTAATTCACTTAACACAACGGTAGCATGCGACGCATGAATACCCCAGAGACAACCTCATTCGGTGCACAACAGCTTTGCCCGTTCCTCCAACTTGCCTCTTCGCCATCCCAGCTCTGCCGTCGAACAGGAATAGCGATCAACCAAGAAATACCGTGACGTCGTCAACGTCTCCTTCCATTCAACGACTTCATTCCCTTCGCACACATTATCGAGAATACATCCCCGCCTCATAGCTGCGTGGGCTCCCTCGAGTCTGCATAGCAACGAACGACGGATAACCCTGCTGCGGATCTCAATCGCTACGCACATAGCTCCTAGGCATCGACAACCCCCAAGGCCTCGATATCCTACCTCGGTGCAGCTTTGACAGAAGTCCGGGATCGTGTTCGGCCTTCCCACACGTCGATGCACCGGGTTTTTCCTGTTTTCTCCCCGACAACACTCCAACGCGTCCACTTCCAGCCTCCCTCCAAGATCTCGACCTCGTCGTCGTATTCAAGAAAGACGGCACCTGGTCGGCCAAGAACAAGAAAAGACGGTCGTCATGGCGACGTCAACAGATATTGCGCCTTCGAATGGGGCTCCAACCGGCGCTTCTACCTCGACAGGCAGTGACTATATCCAAGAACAGATCCGCCAGCTAGACGATGCTCGGAAGCTGGCCCTTGCCAATGTCAGCCATTACCCGATGATCGTCCAGGGCATCTTGCCCATCATCAACCCGTCGTCCCTGCCGCAACTGCGCCGATGGGGCGCTGACTTCCTTGCTGAGGCCTTTGCTGCGCCGGCTATGCCGTCCCGTGAGAAAGAAAGCTTGAGTCTCCTGGTCCTCGGGAGCATTAAGGGCATGTTGGAGAATCCCAACGAGGACCCGCTTGTGCTGCGCAGCATCATCCAAGCCGCTTCTAGCATATATCCACTTGTGATGCGCTGGGTGTAAGTTTCCCTGCTCCTTGTAGCCGCTGCTCCTGAATTTTGGCGCTGGCTCATACTAACGAGACAACAGTATCAACAACTCGTACGACACAGACACTTGGGAGCGCATCAGCGCCATCAAGTCGCACATTCTCCGGTTATGGGAGTCGCCTTCACCGTCGATCCAGATATGCTGCATCAAGTTTGCGCAGCGCGTCGTCCTTGCGCAGACACATGGCGCTAACCTGGATCAACGGCAGCGCGACGGACTCGAAATATCCCTCTTCCTCGTTCCTGCGAACCACCCCCTTCTTGACCCACGGCATCTAGAAGCCGAAGCGACTGGTCTTCTCGACCGTATGCTCGGTGTCTTGCAAGACAACAGCAGCGATGGCCTTATTGTCGATGCCACTCTGAATACACTATCGATCCTGGTTCGCACACGGCCGACAACGGCCAACCGCACAATCAACGCCATCCTCAACTTCAACCCTCTCAAGCTCGCCAGCTCGTCCATGACTCCGCGGATACGTGTCATGGTCAAGTCGATGGAGAAGACGACACGCATGCTGTTGATCCACCTCATGAAGCGGGATCCGACCAATGCCTTTAACCCGCGGATACAACAATATGTGGAACGCCTGATGCGGTCACGAGCCGAGCTTCTTGATGACGCAGGGCGGAAGCGGGCACTGGCAGACCAGCAGGCAGCAGGCGATGCCAAGCGACAGAGAGTGGCCAGTGGTGCTGCGGCCTCGCTGCCGCAAGAGATTCCTGCACTAGCAACGGGGCCATTGAGCCTGGCCGACATTTTTGCCCTCACGAGCAACCCGCCATTGCGGTCGTTCAATGCGTCAAATGTTCCGCTTGAGCTGGCCGCAAAGATAAGTGTGTCAACACTGGCGCGGGTTGATCCGCAACTGTTGAGTCTTGCCATTACCGGAATCAGGGACAGACTTACCTTGCTCGAGACATCTGCAACAGGGTTAGCGATGAATCCGGATACTGCACCATTGGACGTGGAAGATGACGATGACGACTACGAGCCAGACTTTACGGCCGCCGAGGACGCTGAGCAGATTCTCAACAAGCTGGATAACGAGATCACAGACAGGGACGTTGCACGGGTGGATGCGGCATCACTTGCGCTGGGCGCTTTTAAGCTTCCTGCCGCGCCAACACTGTCGTCGGACCAGACCGTGAAAGTGGGGCAAACGACCGTTGCGCGGGTGTTTGATATGATGCAGGCATCTGAAGAAACAGCTGCTGCGCCATCCACAGCCGTTGGAGCACGGAAGTCAGGCAAGGCAGGCTTGAATCGGGTCGCGGCGACCTCCTACGACAAGGAGGCATGGATTACAATCCTGACGCGTCTCGCTACGCGGTCTGTGAGTGGACTTGAGGATAGCACGAACGACGAGGAGAACCCCGCAACCGAGGAGGCGGAGGAACAAGAGACGGAAGACAAGAGCAAGAAGCTTGTCAAGAAAGAAGGCACAAATGGCGCTAGTCCGGCCTTGTCGAAGCCAGGGACGGGACCCGTTCTCAGTGACAAGGTCCGGGAGTTGCTGTTCCGCTATGTTCTCGAGGACTTCCGGAAACGCATTGACGTGGCTATCGCATGGCTGTGTGAGGAGTGGTACAACGATCGTCTTCAGTCGCAGTACCGTGAAGGCGAGGCAAGTGAGAATGACCAAGATCGCAGTGGTCAAGACGACGGCCACTACAGTACATGGGTCGTCAAGTTGCTCGATGGGTTCCTGCCCTACCTCCACTCGCAAGACAACAAGGTGTTGACACGGTTCTTGAGCGAGGTGCCAGCCCTCAATGAGGCCCTTTTGCAGCGCATCAAGAGCCTCTGCCGCGACCCGTCCATGGTGACCGTGGCGCTGACTAGCCTGCTGTACCAGGTTATGATGCGGCCGCCGGCACGGGATCTGACCCTGGACACCCTGCAGGAGATTTGGATTGAGTGTAAGTTTTTTTCCTGCTACGGAGCTGATTCACCAATTGGTTGTTGCCTGCGCTGACCTATTTAGTCGAGGATGCGCGGCCTATGGCTACCAAATTTCTCGACAAGTGGCGTCCTGGATTTGTCCGAGACCATAGCGCACCGGCTGTTGCTGCTGTGCCTGCGGAGGCGCCGCCAGAAGGGCCTTCTGCTGACACGAGTGATGGAACACCAACTGCGGCACCAGCCCCGGCTGTAGAAGCGGCGTCTTGACCAGGGATTGATACTGTGATAATCCCAAATATACTCCCGAAGATTTAATGTCTTTCTTTTTTCGGACGGGATATGGATGTTTTTATATAGGCGTTTTTACACGAGGTGAAATTTATCATTTGCAAAAGAAACGGGAAAATAATATTTTATTGTCTTCATACTGGCCGCCATTTCGCCGCCATTATCAGCCCCGTTTTGGCCCTCTTGTGG